TTGTTACTATGAAAGTACTTCTTTTCAATTCTGATTAACATCTTGTAACCGTATGATCATGACAGTATATATGACAAGTCGATATTGATGCCATTCTTGTGAATCTCGCATAAGAACAGTGAATTCGAGTCGATTCGGGTTAATAATATCAGATGTGGCTTTTTTTTTGTTGAGTAGTGGTTCATAAAATGAAAGGTGGAAAAAAAGTATATAGGTACCTCATCATATTGAAAGTTCATTCCTATAGAGGTAAATCATCTAGGTACATCTACTTATAACCCTATCGGAAAAAGCATCTACTCAGCATCCCGACGCTCGCCAGAATAAATAGAACTGTCTGGATAATGAGGTAAGAAATTTACGACCCCCTAGTGTTGAAAAGTGCGCGGCATTTTCGACGTCCTATTTCTGTAAGCCATTAATCATCACTTTACGAGGTGCGGCCCTTTCAGTTTTAAAACAAGACAGAAGTGCATGCGTGTGGTTTCCCATAGTCGATTTTTGGGGAATGCATGCCACATGTTCGTCACATGCAGGGGTGTTGTTTTTGGCATGGATTACGACAACTCAACATATCCGATGACATAGCACTTGGCTGGGTTTTCCGAAATCAAAAAAGACTCGCTAAAAGTGACATCTTGAAAGCAAACATACTGTCGCAACTCAGATGGTTCTAGTAGCTACTCGCATGGCATTTTGACGAGAGGTTTTGATTATTTCACCACCCAACCATACTCATCCCCAAATAAAAAAATCGTTTTTCAAAAGTACAACAAACCATTTATTCAATCACGAAAACATAAGAATGTGCCAAAAGGCGGAACAGCAAAGAACAAACACGAAACGAGCGAACAACAGAAACAAGATGATGGTTCTTGATACTCACATTATGTTATGGACAGCAACACCAAAGTCGAGGAGATGTCACACCCTCAAAGTGGCATAGTGCCACTTTGGAAGTCAGCAATCAATGAATGAGTGTTATGTACTGATTTTAATATAATAATTGGTAGTGACGAATCGAATAACGCTTGAACTAATAATGACGATGCCTTATCAATTCGGGTTCTATTCATATTTGGAATCGATGCTAGATTTGCAATTTTCCGCAATGGCAATGGTCGGTGCCTTCCGATATCGCACGGTGAGCGGTTTTTTTGCAAATTATAACGGAACTAACGTCTATGAACTCCGCTGACCTGATCGAAACTACAATAATAATTAATATAATAATAATAATAATAATAATATAGTAATAATAATAATAATGATAATAATGATAATAATGAAATATTAGAAAACATAGAATGTACTGAATGTTTCAATTTGTAAAAATTAATTTATGATAAAAGATCTTGAATTGAACGAGAGTTTGAGTGATGTTAATTCATAGGCATTTATACTACTTCCCTTGACTTGTTTTTGCTGGAGTTACTGACCACCAATAGGAAGTGAATCCATTGTGTGGTGCATATAGGTCAGTAAGTCAATAACGAAGTGGGAGGTACAAAATTATTTGAATCAAGAGAAATTCTACCTAACATTCTATTTAGAATATCTGGAAGCTGCCTTGCTCGATTTATGAACACATTTGGCCATGGAATCTATGGAATCACTTCTAAAAGTTTCCAGTTCATGCGTGTGAATGATTTAATTTTCTATTCAATCGATTTCAAAGAGAATTATGAAAACACAATGAATAATGAAAATAGTATGTACAGAAATACCCGGAAATGCCTAAATTCTGAAAATTATTATCAATGCCTTACGACTAGAATACCTGATATATTTTTTTGCAATCAATATAAAAGTCGTTCATTTTTGTTTCAAAATTAGCTCTTGAAGATGACATTTCTCTTACTGATACAAAAACACACAACACTCGAGGCAACACTTCTAGTGTCTAGGTGCTAAAGTTGAAGTTTAATTCCTAGGAACTAAAAGTGTGTCGGATGACAGCTGAAATGATAACTGCTTTGACAGTGACATGATCAAGAGAGTCAAAATAGTGGAAATAAAATGTTTCATGCGGATCAAAAGTGCATGGACGATGTTCTTCGAATATTATAGGGTTTCTCTTTCGTGCGCTCCAAGAGAAAACAAAAAACACGATATGGCTACAGTTTTGACGCTAGAGACCCCTGAAGATAATCTTGATATTTCCATTATTTTTGGTAAATAAATACAAAAAGCTCAAAGTCATATCCACACAATTTTCATTGTTGTTTATTTTATGAACATTGTGTAGATATGACTTTGAGCTTTTTGTATTTATTCAACATTTCATTCCACTTTCAACATTGTGGCTATTTTGAAGTTGGAATTATGATTTAGATATACCTAGGTCGTTGCCAAGGTTTTGGCATAAGTGAAACCCTGATCAACATCGACACTCACTCACTCAATTTCATTCTCTATTTTTTGTTTCGTGTTGTGGAGTTATTGGACAAGCAAACTTCCCAACGAAACATGAAACTCCCAACAGCATCTCCCGTAACCATTAACATTAACGGTATAGCAGGCCGATTAAGCAGGATTAATGGCCCGACCTTATGCCCAGCTGACTCTGCTCGCCGGGGTTAACGATTACGTCACCGGGAACACAAGGTCCCTAATTAGGGATAGGTCGTGTGTCGCCTGAAAGTTATGGGCACCAGGGGTCGTTATTCGTGTTGAGTGTGTCGATGAAGTCGGAATTGATTGCTGATTCACGGTCGATTTCATTATACTCGGTCATAGACTACAGAAGATAAACTATGTAATCTTTAACATGGTGCAGGATTTGCCAGCAGGCTGAGTAGGCTGGAGCCTAGGGCAGCAAATTTGGCCCAAAAAATGTTTGTCTTATATATGTCGGCGTCAATTAGTGAAATCCGTCATTCCCTGACATGCCTAGTCATTTCACGTATTGTCGGAAAACATCGTAACAGCGTAACTTCCATTTTCGGCCGTTTGCCGGAGGGTAAAGGAGGAAGGGATACTATTTTTCCGCCTAAATGAACCTTCTTCCTAGGAAATAACTTGGGTGAACAGAAGAGTCTACTGCTTCTAAACATTGTATGTTTCTTGGGATCAATAAATGTTATTATTATTATTATTAAATGAACCTTCCTTCCGTCATTACAGGGAATGCCTGAAACTATTAGGCAAACGGTGTACGAAATTTAGAGTTACGCTGTTTGCCGGCAATACGTAAAATGACTAGGCATTCCAGAGAATGACGGATTTCACTGTTTGACGTCGACATATATAAGTACGTAGGGAAAACGAGTCTTGAAAATTTAACAAACATTTCATTTTTTCAGTATTATACACGGGAAAAAAGTGGGCACTTTTTTATACTACAGAAGCTAGCGAGGCCACTTACGAATTTCAACATGAAACACATTTCATAATGTTAGGCTCATTTTTGGCTAATTTTTCACCCATTTTCCGAATTCTTTGCTTCTCTCTATCATAAAAAAATCTTTGGCTCTGCGAGCTTCGGCCGAACTCAACAAATTCATTTTTAAAAAACAATATTTCTGATGATTTTATATACTGAAAATGTAGTGCTCATATTATGCTAATTAATTATTCCCCGAGCTATTCCCAATTTTTTTGCTCTTCTCTATCATAGAAAAATATATGGCTTTACTAGCTTCGGCCGAGCTCAACAGAGCTATTTTTGAAAACATTCCCTGTTTCCCTGATTTGATATATTGAGATTAAATGGCTAATACAAGGCTAATTAATTATCCTATTCTCGAATTTTTTGCGACGATTTGTCGAAATACGCATTATTCCCTATACATTATGCATTGATTGTGAACTTAATAACTATCCCATTTAGGAATTTTTTGTTTCATATGGTTTTAAAGAAACCTGTTGTGGCTTTGCTATAGCTTCGGGCAAACTCAGCAGAGCTATTTTTGAAAAGGTTATATTTTTGCCGATTCGACACATTGCGATTTCTAGGCTTACTCCAGGCTAATGAATTACCATATTTTTGGATTTTTTGCTCAACGTTCTAAACAGAAAAAAAAAACGAAACGATTCGTCGAAATTCCCGTTATTCACGGTTATTCACTATACATTATGCATTTCTATCGAAAGCATATTTTATGACGAATTCATAAGGCAAAGTGTTAGTATTGATCGTAAGCTCAATAACTATACTATTTTGAAATTTTTTGCTGTATATATGTTTCAAAAGAAACATGTGATGGCTTTGTTGGTTTCGAGCGAACTCAGCAGAGCCATTTTTGAAAAGAATATATTTTTCAATGATTTGATAGGTATATCGGTATTAGAAGGCTTATTTCAGGCTATAATTAATAACCCTATAGTTTTTGTCGAAATACGCGTTATTCACCGAGTTATTCACTATACATTATGCATTTCTATCAAAAGCATATTCATGCCAATTTTATACAACTGCTTTGCCTTTTAAAATGTAGAAAACAAATATTCCCTCTTTATGATATCAGTATGGAAAACGAATATTTCCTCATCATAATATTAGTATAGATATAGTATTCCTTCAGAAGACATAAAAATAATTATTGTAGAGAAGTAACTTCAGAGAGCTCTGTATTTCCCTTGACTGGGGAGCGTTATAATTAGACAAAGTTTGAGATCTGTAGTGAGACACTCTTTTTTCTTCATTTTCACACACATGAGTGTCGAAGTGAAAATAAAAAAATACAAGATTCTGACTTGTCATCCTCATGACCGCAAATTATAAACAATTTACCACCATTTGTGATCAATCTATTTTTTCGGAGCGTCTGGACCTGATTAGAAATGATCAATCGTCAATTTTGGGAATCCCATCGCGAATTTTATGGATCGCTAGATTTAGTCGAAATAGCTGAAACAACTTTTTTTCAAACAACAAAATTCGTTCAAGGACTCCACCAAAAATACAAATTATCCACAATATGCCTTGTGTCATTTCAATATTTCTCCTTGTTCGACGTCTGAAGACGAAGGCCTAACCACTCGAAACCCTCACCCACCTGTAACTTCTGCTTGTGCCCGCACTGATGACAAGAATAAGAAAAAAAGTCCGGCAGCGCTGGCATGATTCTGAGACTGTCGCAGCTGCTGCTGTGCTCGTCCACCAGTTTCCTGTAATTCACTGTAACCGCCGGAGAGCTCTTGCCGAGTCTCCCCATATTCTCAGAGAACTGCTGGAAAAATCGGGGAAATCCCCGCACTAGAAACAACCACGATAACAGCCCACAATGCCAGCACTCATCACTGTCACTACACGAACGTATTTCTTCTCACTGATAGACTATAACGCGACGCAGTCATTTCCACGCAGGCGGTACAGAGAGTACTGAAGTGCTGCCGGTGAGCTGGTGTGGGTTTCCTCTTCATGGAGCCGTAGAGCGGGTCAGGTACCCGAAGAGCAGAACCGCACTGGCTCGTCCGTATTCTGGGCGTGAAACGAAACGATACAGTGGTCGTAACAGAGCTGGCCGTAACAGGGTCGATCCTAATAACGCTGGCTCTATCAACGCTAGCTCCAACAACGCTGGCTCTATAAAAACGCCGACTGTTACAGCACTGGCCATAACAACGCTACTGAATGTAACAGCGCTGGCCAAAATAACAATGATCACTAAGACATAACTTGCTATAACAACTATGACTGTAACAGTAATGGATATAACAATACTGACTGTAATAGCACTGGCCGTACCAACGCTGTCTGTAACAACAATGACCATTAAAACGCTGCCGATTGTGATCTTCCTAGCGAAAATACCAACGATCACTATAACAACACTGGAAAATATCGACGCTGACTGTAACAGCACTAGCCATAACAATGCTGTTTGTAACAGCGCTAGCCAAAATGACAACGCTTACTGTGATAACACTGGTCATAATAAACGGTCTCTAACGGCACTGGTTATAATAATGCTGACTGTAATGGCACTGGCAATATCGATGCTGTATGTGAGAGCAATTACAATGAAAACGCTGCTGACTTTGATAGCGATATCCAAAATAAAAATCCTCACTGTAACAGCACTGTCTATTACAACGTTGACTCTGCGAGAGCATTGCCCATATCAACGCAGTCTGTAAGAGCAATAGCCATAAAAACGTAGCTGACTGTAACAGCGCTGGTCAAAATAACAACGCTCACTGTAACAGAGCTGGTCAAAATAACAACGCTCAATGTTACAGCACTGCCCATAATAACACTATCCGCATGTCAGTTTTGAATTCACTCAGCCGTTATTTGATGGAAATCCATGACAAATGTAAAAACTTTACGAACGATAAGATTTCCACAAACTTTCAAACACACGACATGTTTCGCTAACACAGTTGCTTCGTCAGGTGATATACTGGTACAATGAACTAACCTTAGCTTGCTTAACTTTCATATTTTCTACTTTTCCAACCTGAAGGATTAGTTACCTGTGGACAGATTCGATAAACCTTCATTTCCGGAAATAAGGCACAATTTCTACATTGAAATACGGTGTACTGGATTGACTTGAAAATCTGTGAGAGCAATGGACATAACAACTCTACTTGTAATAGAATTGGTCATAACAACGCTGCTGGCAATAACAGCACTTTCCAAAATAACAACACCCACTGTAACAACACTGGCTATGAAAGAGCTGACTGTAACCGCACTGGTCATACCAACGCTGTATGTAAGAACAATGGCTATAAAAATGCTCCTGACTTGTTACAACGCTGGCTAAAATAACAACGATCACTCTATTAGCACTGGGTATAACAACATTGATTGTGAGAGCATTTACCGTAACAACGTTGACTGTGAGAGCATTGGTCATAAGCATCGTTGTCTGTTAGTTGACTGACTGTAACAGCGCTGGCAAAGTAACAACGCTCATTTTAACAGAGCTGGCCATAACAGAGTTCGCCGTAGCAGCTCTGGTTATAACAAGGGAATGTTATAGTTTTGGTTATAACAACGCTATCAAGTGCTGGCCATAACAGAGCTTCTACGGAAGTAGAAGTACTGGCTTCAAACGGTGCTGACACAAAACAATACTGGGACGAAATAATGCTGGCAAACATCACTTAGTAGTGAGAATTGGTCACAGCTCTACTGGAACGTAACAATAGTGGGTGAAAAGTCGAGTTCAAAACAACGAAGCGTGTCTGAAACAGTGGCAGGTAAAACTAGAGCTGGATGTAATGTAATATGACGAGTTGTAATTCACGCTGAAGTCGAATGTATCAACTTCTTCAATAGTGACGTTGTAAACTGCTTTGAAATTGATGAGTGCCTATCATTTCCATCTCTGCCATTGTTCTAACTTGCAAGTCATCTGATTTTCATCAATTTAAGATAATCAAGATGAGTCAGTCAAGATGAGACTTTATTGAAAAACAATTTTCACTCTAAATACTGTCTGTATGACATGAGAAAATGATATATTTTCCGAAAATCAACTTGGATACATATGCCGAAGCGCTACAGTAACAACAAAATTCGGGAAAATCAGGAATGAACAATTTTTTTTTCCAGGATGTTTCAGGATTCGTATTATAGGGGGCTAAACCTAGACAAGTAGGTATTGGTACAGTTTTTTCGAAAAAAGGGTTCAAAAGAGGCTATATCTATTATTATTCATAACTATTACATAATTCTCATTCAAATGGTATTTCATATAATGAATTGGAATTCTGACATATACACTGATTTTTCTTCCAAGCAGTCACAAATTTATTGGGTAGGAATTCTAGAAGGATGCAATAAAAATTGTCGAATCAACTAATTGAAGTTTTGTTACTTTTTCTACTTTTTATGAATATTCCTAATTTATTTTATACCTTTATATTTCCATGTGCACTTCTGGGACAAGAGAATGCCTACTAAAATTTTAACAAAAAGCCGAAGAATTGGTTCAAACTCAAATTGGGTAATTTTCCGATGGAGAGAAGTTTGGATTCAGTTTCTGTTATGCAGAGTTTTAGGAAGATTCAGAATATTGTACAATGTTTTAATATATTACATGAGCAGTAGTAGAAAAGAAATCAGAATCAGAATCAGCACTAGGGGGGCTAATATCTCAAAATGTTGAGTGAAAGCAGAACGAGTGAGTTTTGTTATTGTCAGATACAATTTTGGTTTTATCTTCGTTTGTTCAATGACGTTATGAAACGTTTCCGATTGGTAATATAGAATGGTGGTTATTATAAATACCTCGTAATTTACTTTTCTGATGGGTGAAAAATCAATGTTGCTGTAACTAATATTTCAAAATCACCATGAATAAATTTAGATTGTATTTTTCCAGCTTTTATTGATCGCACCTTGTATAATCGAGTTGTTGGCCTCTCCACACCTACACAAGTAAGGCTCAGAAGGTAGATATACCTACTCATGAAAAGTTGAAGGAATACCTCGTTCTAGCTCTTAGAGTGGGAAGTTTGTGATACTTACAGGGCGTCAGGTCCTATCTAGCATCTAGAAGCTTGAACGGTAAACGCAGCGAATTCTTGAATGGATAGATACCTTTAGAAGAGTTGGTACGATGGGACGGAAGTACCACTTTCCTTCCTACTACATCTCTGTAACCTCCATGGAATGTTGGATGTCACAGCACAGCACACTCACAGTCCACCATCACCGCTGTTCTTTTCACGTATATACTCGCGACGGTTTATTCGCGAGACCAACTTTCTCGCAAAAAAAATAAGAAGACGATGAGGAATCGCAGTGGCGTACCCTTTGGGGGATTTGGGAGTCTGAACCCCACCTAAGTTCCAAGATCTGGAAGATTGGTTCACGAACATCTATACTAATATTATGAAGAGGAAATATTCGATGTTTGCTTGTTTGTTTGTATGTATTGAATAGACTTCGAAACTACTGGATCGATTTGGCTGAAAATTGGTGGGGAGGTAGCTTAGAACCAGGGGAAGGATATAGGACTTTTTATCCCGGTACCATCAGGAAATTCGAGATGGTGGATCTAAAATATCGGACGAGTTTTGTATTCTACAAATTTGGTACCTAAGGTTTTTCAACCTAGGGTTTTTCGTGATCAGGGATTATGATTCCTTCGTCAAAATATGGTCCAGAATGGCGGATTTTGTAATTAGGATCCGATTTCTGTACATATTAGGGAATGATAGTTCTGGGGTTCTTGAAGGTTTCACCAATCTTCATAATGAACCGAGCATTCTGCTTGCATCGTTGCAATGTTTTTTGCAATCATGTGAGTTGAATGTTAGTGGTATAGGTTCCCAAGGTACAAGGTTCATAAAAAAAAAACAATATGCGTACGTTGAATATCAGGCCTTCTCACAACCCTCATCAGAAGTTTCACAGGTTTATCCCTAAATGCGGGACAAAGCACAAATTAATTTTTTCAAATCGAACACCCTGTTTTTTACATTTTTTTCGGGATCTGTGGATTTTCGTGATCACAAAAATATGTATATATCTTCTATTTCCACTTCCTTTTCACCAATCTTTTGAGGCTAGAAAAACAAATTTTGTCTGATTAATTGGTGATCACTCGATCAGTTTGTGGATGTATTCGATGATGAAATGATGCATACAACTGTCAAATATATCCTGATATATGACTAACACGATATCGGTAGAAACAAACAAACAAAAATTGTGATAAGAAAGTGAAAATAACAAATATCATATTGTATATATACAGCTAGGGCTCTCACCTAAAACTCCGCACGCCAATATCTCGAAAACGGATAGAAATATTCAATTTCTGTTGGAAGTAGTCGAAGGATGGCATCAAGTAGATTTCATTCCAAGTTGAAAAAATCTATCGCGCATTAAGAGTTCAAATCGATTGCATTTACTTCGAAATTATGCGCACTCAACAGTACATGTTCTTCATGAACTATTTCGTTAATTACTCGAACTTATTTATTCAAATTATTTCTGAGTTATACCGGTTCATAGTGAACGTTCCTTGATTGACAAAAATGCGACTATGGATGATTTTCACAAGAATGTCATTCATTTTACTTAAACTAATAATCAAAACGATTATTGCTATTGACTACATACCTCATGATGCATTGGCGCACTCAGGAATTTCTCTTGGGGGGAGCTCATAGAATCCAATGAAAATAGTAAAATATATAAATTTGAGTTCAATTCAGGGAAAATGAAAAACAATGATGAACAAAATGATACACATGACATATATAAGTTCTATTTAAAAAAAAACATTCTGAAGGTACAACCATTTTGTACGAAATCAACAATTCTTAGAAATCTAGTTTCCTTCTTTTAGAAGACATCAA